CCAAACTCTGGTACGTATGAGTGAAGGACACAGTCACCTTGCGTCAATCGCCAAACTCTGGTACGTATGAGTGAAGGAACACAGTCACCTTGCGTCAATCTCCAAACTCTGGTACGTATGAGTGAAGGAACACAGTCACCTTGCGTCAATCGCCAAACTCTGGTACTATGAGTGAAGGACACAGTCACCTTGCGTCAATCGCCAAACTCTGGTACGTATGAGTGAAGGAACACAGTCACCTTGCGTCAATCTCCAAACTCTGGTACGTATGAGTGAAGGAACACAGTCACCTTGCATCAATCGCCAAACTCTGGTACGTATGAGTGAAGGAACACAGTCACCTTGCGTCAATCGCCAAACTCTGGTACGTATGAGTGAAGGAACACAGTCATCTTGCGTCAATCTCCAAACTCTGGTACGTATGAGTGAAGGAACACAGTCAGCTTGTGTCAATCTCCAAACTCTGGTACGTATGAGTGAAGGAACACAGTCACCTTGCGTCAATCTCCAAACTCTGGTACGTATGAGTGAAGGACACAGTCACCTTGCGTCAATCTCCAAACTCTGGTACGTATGAGTGAAGGAACACAGTCACCTTGCGCCAATCTCCAAACTCTGGTACGTGTGAGTGAAAGACACAGTCACCTTGTGTCAATCTCCAAACTCTGGTACGTATGAGTGAAGGACACAGTCAGCTTGCTACTGACATTTGCATAGTTTAGATTTTCAGCCTTACTTTTGTCACAAATTGTGATGTCGAATTTCATGTCACTACGTCTATAATGAATTACAAGCATCCGGTATGCCAATTTTTCCTAAAATGTCAATGTCAAATGTACGAGATTAATTACACATATTTCTGGGGTGCGGTCATTAATATTTTTTAAAAAAGCAGCACTAGAACAATGAACTCAGATCTGAACCGAGCGCAACGTTCGCATGTGCAACCAGAGTGTATTAAAGTTGTTTTTATAGTTGTAACACAGTTTATTCTGTGGTCAAGATGTTCAATTATCTACTGTCGATTACGCCAGAAACAGTAACAGAATTCTCCAGGTAATCCAATCACGCAGCAATAATGACAATTGCTTGCCGCAAACGTATTTCCCGCAAATACGATTATCTCGGAAATCACTTGCCTTAATTACCTACTACTTATGTTGTTAAATTACTTATCAACATGTCGGTAGATAAAAGGTTAAAACAATATAATCATCGGTGAAATTAATTTTAACCTACTTAAATGCTGTCACGGACAGCGTAATCTATTGAAATGATGAGCGAAAAACTGTAGGATCAGTTGCCCGACTGAAACAGGTTACGTTGCACTTAGTGGTAGATTGGTTTACAAACATACAAATAGTGCATTGTTTTGCAGTGGGACAGAACACGTGGCTACTTTGCCCAACTACTATGGAAGTCTGCAGGTCCTGGTAAGTACAATCGTATTTTGTGTTTGATTTCGCCTCTTCTTACAACAAATTTACTTTCTCTTGTTCAGAATGATAAAATAATGTATTGATAGCTGAAGGTTAATTCCATTAGAACATGAAATGACGCGTTTATTTTAAACAGCTCGCTTCATTACCCCAGGTTACCCCAACCAACCCAGTTTACCCCAACCAACCCAGTTTACCCAAACCAACCCAGTTTACCCAAACCAACCCAGTTTACCCCAACCAACCCAGTTTACCCCAACCAACCCAGTTTACCCCAACCAACCTAACTTTGTTTAGAGGACGATATACATTGACTGTTTTCCATCACAACTTATTGAAAATCGAATTGCTATCGATCAGTTTAGAGGTGGAATAAATCGACCCATGCCTGGCAACCATTGTTACCAG